CATTCTGGTAGATGCTCACTCTCGCTGGTTAGAAGTATGCATTGTACCTTCTACTTCCTCTGAAGCGACTATCAAAGTCCTTCGTCACATATTCTCTACTCATGGTCTTCCTCATCAGTTGGTCTCTGATAATGGACCTTCATTTACTAGTCAAGAATTTAAGAAATTCATGTCTCTAAATGGTATTCGCCATTCACTAACAGCTCCTTACCATCCGAGGTCTAACGGTCTAGCAGAAAGAGCAGTGCAGACATTTAAGAATGCTATTAAGAAGATGGAAGGACCACTACATGAAAGAATTGCTCGATTCCTTTTCTCTTACCGAATCACTCCTCAATCTACTACTGGGCAATCCCCAGCTGAACTCTTAATGGGACGTAGATTAAGATCAGTCTTAGATACTGCTCACCCAGATTTCACTCTACCTTCACAGAAAGAGAAGACTAAAAGCAATGCAAGATCATTCAAGCTACATGACAAGCTGTTTGCAAGGAACTACTCTGGGAAGCCATTATGGATTCCTGTGGTTGTCTGTAAGGTCACTGGACCATTGTCTTACCATGTTGAAACTATGGATGGTTTAGTGCTTAAAAGACATGCTGATCAGCTCAGAAAAAGGTACACTGAAGACTCTGAGCCAGATACCCTGCCGGAGGACAGTGATTGGGATGATGATTTCACTCCATTGATTCCTAACGTGCCTCCACCTCCTACTCCGCCTCCTTTGCCCCCACCGATTCGTCGATTGACTCATTCAAGGATGACTACTGATCATGGGCCGTATGTATGTTAACTTAAGAGGGGAGGGGTGTTATATATTGATATATTATTTTGGTATTGATTCCTATTATTATTTTCTAAGGCATTTTGATTACAGTTATTTCTAGTATTATTATTATTGTTATTATGATTTACTATGCTTATTAGTTCATGTATACTGATTCTGATTGTTGTATAATGTTTTGTCATTGTGATGTAATATGATGTAATACTGTTTGTATATAAGTGTATGCTCTTTTCATTTTTGTCAGAAGAGATTTTAGCCTTTTTACAATAATCAATATTTACAAAATACGAAGGTCAAGCTCTCTCCATTCGGTCACTACACTAACCAGTAATGATCTGTTTCTCATTCTGTGATTGTTCCTCTACTTGTGATGTCAGTTTGGCTATAACTTTGTCTTTCTCAGAAATGAGATTTTGATTGTCGTCTACACAATAAACATATTCTCTCATCTAATACATGCTGTGTGTATAGTTAACTAACCAATAATGATCTGTTTCTCCTTGAGATATTGTTCCTTCTCCCCCTCCATATCAGCAACATTGACTTTCAGTTTCTCGTAACTTTCTACAATAACAGAATATTCTCTCATATACAAAGTATGGATTGATTATATACTGACCAGTAATAATCTGTTTCTTCTCCTCTACTTGTGCCTTCTCTTCCAATAATTCAGTTATAAATACTTCATTATCGGCAACTTTGAGTTTCAGTTTCTCATTATCCTCTATACATTAATAGAATATTCTCTCATCTAATATTATGTACTGATGATACACTAACCAGTAATAATCTGTTTCTCTTCAATCAACCTTTCCTGTTCTTGTCTCATCTCTTCTAATACACTGCTCATAATATCATTACTATCATCACCTTTAACTGAGTAATAATATAAAAGAAGAGAGTAATCAGTATATGCATAATAACACAACAGAATATACAGATAATATATACACACCAAAGACTGGTTCAACCAATGTACAAACCATTAGATAATCATATTCAATATTATTTCTAGCTTAATTTGCACTGCATGTACAGTAGCCCATAAATACATGTACTATGATTATTGCTAATCATACCATATATGGTAAGCAGAGATCACTCTACATGAATCTCATTATTTCTAATGCATCCACAATTTGACCTATATTGAGTACAGGCCGGATACTATTTCCATACTCAACATTGTCTAATCCACTAGTATCATAATGTAAACTAGTACTAATACACACACTCACACTACCAATAACCACACAATACTACATAATAGTAATCAGTTAGTACAGTTAAAGTCTGTGTGTGTGTGTATTATCCTATATACCTTGTTTATTGGCCTCAACCAGTGCCTCCTGTAGTGATACTTTGTTCTCATGAGCCACTTGTAGGTCTTCATGTAAAGATTGTATATATCTCTGAAGCTTCATTTCCCTCTCTGTCGGATATTCTATTAGCTGATCCATCCACCATGTTCTGGTCTTGCTGTACGATTCATACTTTTCTTGATAGTTCTTACTAGTGAGATCATTACCATCCAGTACTGACTGTACTATCCACTCACCAGCTTCACTATATACTGAGATACAATAAGATACATTATATATTTATAAATAAATGTATTTAATTTATAAACTAATGGTATCACTTATAGTGGTTGTAAATACACACCCACACATACAGTGGTATTGTAGTGTGTACAGTATACAAAATGAATGGAAAATGTACGTCATATTAGGAACTGAAATTTACAAATAATGTACATACTATAAAAATGAGTGGTACATTATTTAGTGTTATAGTATAGTGCGTGGGCGCATCAAAGGCACCGCCCATTCATTATATACCATACAACACGTAGAGTGCTTTATCTGCTGCAATTATAGAACTGTTCCAAAGGAAGTGTTCTTTATTGCCACCTATATAGAACTGATTGAAACTGAGTAAATGTTTTTTAATTTGTAAAAAAAAGAATGAACCAGGTAATCATAAGTGACTTTAGTAGTTTAATACTTATATGTATTGAAGCTGAAGTTAATCGTACATTGATTTAGTCCAGAAAAGGCAGGTAGCTGAGGCAATGGCACTGCTTCTTCTGTTTTATCTTCACTCTTAACCTTCACATCATTTAGAAATTTCTTGTCAGGATCAACAATGGCTTGCTCAGCTTCTTTGTACAAATCTTCTTCAGGACGTTCATACAATCTTAAAGCCTCAAGACTTCTGTGACCAGATTTATCAGAAATTATTTTCTCAGGTACACCACTGTTGTACATCCTTGAAACCGCTGTTGCTCTAAGACTATGGTTTGTATATTCAGATAAACCAGTTATCAGAGACACAAACCTTTTCAAGGCATCCCAACAGGATTGTTCCAGTTCTTTCGATATAACCTCTGCCTTCTTTACTGTGACTCCTACTCCATCACAATGCAGCTCACCGTTGATGGTGTCTAGAGTACGATTGAGATCATCCTGAAAGTGAAGGTCATTTCCATCCAGTATATTAAAAGGGACTTTATTATCTGCTAATTCCCTACCAATGCCACTTAACAAACTTCTAATACTCGATGGTGGGTACCTCTCTCCATTTACCTTAC